ATGACCTATACTGTGACGTTAAACCCAAAACCAAAACAAATCATGAGATACCTTAATGTCAACCTTTTTCATTTGCAATAAATCAACTTGTTAATATGTCAGATCAGGTCATGGGAGTGGTTGTATCTAAGTCTCAAATTGTGTTCAAATATTGCGCAAATTCAGATAGCATAGTATACACAGTAATAACATCTTTCAAAAAACTAAACCACGTGTTTAAAAATCGAACAAACATGTTTAACACAACGGCTTGCTGAACAGGACTGCCTATATTTTTGGTGTTTTGCAGCAAATGGGGTAACACAGCAGGGGACCGTTTTACTAATATACATATATGATTTGCGTAAGTTTTAACTTACGTGATATTTTTTAACGTAAAAGGGTTTTACTAAAGATTTGCGTACGTACCAATTTGTTAGTTTTTTTTCGTAAAGTTACGCTTAAAATTAGTTGACTTAAAACATTTAATACGTATATAACACTGGCCCATCTATGAATATATCCGGTGTGAAATAAACATAAACATTGTATTCGTTTTTTACATTTTTATTTAGTCATCGTGAATTGTAACAATAAAGTAGTAACATGGTTTAATATGTTAATAATGCTTACCATTGTCATTCGCGTAAAACATGTTATTAAATTCATTACATGATTGATTGAAATACCCGTATGAAGGAATATTGTCCGATCCATGGATATTTCGACTCTGTTTCATAAAAATGCATGAACTAATAAATTATTTCCTTTTTGCAAAGAGAAGAAATTATGAAATAGTATTTTGACGTTATAAGAATGCCCTGTCAATTGCAAGAAAAGAGGATATTGATAAAGAATTGTAAGGTACAGGATGATATTTTCCTTCTTATAGATTTTATATAGGCGTTATTTTTTCTGATTAAATTTCCATTTTTGGCGTCCAATTGTTTCTTCTCTGAATAGCCGTCTATATACGGCATATTTAATCTAAATCTTAGCGGACTGTCCATCTTAATTTCGACTTGTATCTGTGTACTAATATAACTTAAACGTACTTTTTTCCTGCAAAAAAAACCCCAAAAAAACAACTGAATACAACTTTTGAAGAGCCTGGTCTGCAGAATATATTTTGTAGATACACACGGAAGGTAGACCGAAGAGGTCAAACTATCGACTTCACAGCGAGACTGAGTTTACCCTATCTCGTATTTCGGAGAGGAGGCTGTTGATTTTTCTCACGGGTCAAAGGGGTGTGACCCTGCAGAGTAGTACATATTCATTGCTTTAAAGGCAGCTGCATTGCTTGGCACCAAAAGTGCTTTTCAAGGATACCTCTTCCATTATTGCCACAGGTTCCTGTACGTTTAAGTGCGCATTGACCGCTGTACAGTGATCTATTTTTGACTCAACAATTATTTCTTTGGCTTATATCCCGCAGGAAATATCCTATAAGTTAATAAATTATTACCATTTTGTGCTTCAAAAATAAACTATTATGGGAAATAACTGGTGAAATGTCCGGGGTCCGTACACGGTAGCGAAAGCTACCTATTGTTTCGTAGCGGGCGGATGGACACTCATCAAAGATAACGTACTTACGACCCTTTTTTGTCTTTGTATTTTCCTAAAAACAAAATATTGGCAAATTAAAATTCACTGAGTTATAAACAAATTTAGTTCGATACGAAACATTTTCGTCAATCTTTATCAGGCAATAGTGACTGTTATTTCACGCTTACGATCAGTAAGTTAGTAATCAGTGGCAGACTTTGTTTTGATATTAATTTTCAAAAGAAATATATCCTAAAATCTGCATTAATTAATTTAATTAAATACAATCGCAACTTTTACAGCGTTGAAATGCCTTATAATTATTTGTTTGAAGTTTGTACGTCAAATGTGAAAATAAGGAATCCAGTGATCTAAGGACAAAGTATACAACTCGTCGCTATAAATAAAAATTTTGAAAAAAGTAAAATGAGATTCTAAGCATCTAATAAGACTTTGTCAATGAAAGTTTATCATACGCTCGATTAAAACATAGATAAACATACAATCGAATTTTCCGGTTTCTTATTTGTTAGTTAACTTACACGGATTCACCTTTAAATAAATATAAAAAACTAAACCATACTTAGAAGTGTTAAAGATAAGTGCTAAGTTTAATTTTATAACATTGTTATATTGATACAAGGTTTACACTGAATGTAAAAAATGTTATTGTTATGAAAATGAACCTTTATATTAAATAAAATCATTCTAATTTAGGAACCATCTTTATTTTCAACGGCGTTGGTTTATATACATAATTATATTTTTAAATCTTGTTCTAGGGGTGGCATATTTTTTAGATAAATCGTCATGTTGTTACCATGTTTGTAACCTGATTTACCAATAAAGAGTATTGTATTGTATTGTAAGGTTAATTCATTTGATAATCGTCAACATAAAGTGACATAAGGTGATTCAACATTCTCTTTCTACGACATATACCAAATACACAAAACAATATATTACACCTAAGGATGCCTTCTGCGAGGTACCTTTTTCCCACGTGTATCAATGTCTTCACCTACATTATACAAAAAGTGTTGTTTATGGAAATTTGAATTTGAAAGACGTTCTCCTAATTAAGCCTATACAGTACAACGTAATAATTTACTATCAATTTGTTACAAATGTTCTAATGGTAATGCTGCATTAACAGAGGACCGTACATGTTATGCAAAATGACTAAGTAAAACGTATTTTTATACGAAGTGTTTAACTTGTGGTTTATAAAGTAGTGTTACTCACTTCTCAAAGTTTAAAATGTTTAGTAGTATCAAATATTTAATTCTTTTTTGGCATAGGTTAACATCAGATAATTTCTTAAAACTGTTTGGAATGAACGAATTTAAAGAAGTCAAATTAATTGTAATTGTGGTTATATAAACTTGAATATAAGAAACCTTCATGTTCTATACTATGCTACACATTATCGTCTTTGACACATAGCCGCCTTCTTATTTCATTTCTTATGGAAATAAGCTGACAGTTTCATAAGAAATATGTAACTGTCATATCATGATCATTAGCCATATAACATGCCATTGTAGTACTTCTAATGATAAAACCGATAAAGCCATCACGAATAATGTTACATGGTAAGTGTCGTCATTAGGTTCTTTGGAGATTTTAAGAGTAGCAAAAGGACAACAAATAAAATTATATATACATAGCAACAACTTAAAAATTTAAAAGACATTATGCTCATATTTTCAGTGTCAAGTTGTGCTGAATTGACTTTATATTTCAAAAGATTGACTGTTTAAAATATATTTGACCAACAGATTATATTGAAAAATGTTTAGGATAAAATTTGCCTAAAATATAAAAAGACTGCCCCACTCTATTTATAAATTAAACGTTACAGGTGAATTCTAAATGATATTTACAGAAAATTTGTTTGAATCTGGTGGTTATTAATTGTTTATGCGATGTAAATCATTAAAGCAAAAGGAGTTATGGCAAAATGAACATTTATTTGACTCTCACCTGTTCACTCACTAGATACCTTTAGATGGGCATTATTTCACTTTAACACGCATTATTGATTTTTTTTTCATTTCATGAAATTAGGAAAATATATACATTTGAAAAACAATGTTACTTCACATAATCCTTGGGCACAGTTAATTGTCAGAACAGAACAGAAACTATATTTTAGATTTGTACAAAGTACACCATCATACAAAATATAATTATTCCAATATATCAATCGTCAGAGAGCTTCTTTATGTACATTGGGATGTGATTTTGATCGGCTGCTATTAAATTTGAATTAAACAGTGAAAGTGATAGGTAAATGAGATATATCTTTATTAATTTTTTTGTTTGTTTTTGTTTAGACAGTATTTCAGAATTTAAAAAATGTGTATAAAGTTCTGCTTTTAATTAAACAATTCCTTTCATTATTAAGCAGGTTAATGTCCAAGATATAATGTATCGCAATACTCAGTTTGACTCATTATTTAAGGTCTGACTTACTTGACAAAACATTATTAGATGATGATTTGATAACTCGTCCGAAAGGCTCCATGAATATTTTGACTTTTTGTCGTCTTTATTTATCTCTTCATCTCTAAAACATTTAAGCGATGTCTGTCCCCTCATTATTTGGCTACACTCATCGTCATATACAAGACATTATGTTATAAGAGCTGGCGGGTAAATGGCTTGCTTTTTGGTCTTTCATATTAATGATATCTTTTCGTAAACATACGATATATGACGGAATACTAAATAGACTTATAGCTATAATAGATTTAAACATATTCTTATGTAAAATGCTAACGTGTTTTTGGCTAAAAGTATTAAAAAAGTATTGATTGTTAATTTATTAATAAATACACGCATGTTTTGCATTACCAAATATGTTTACATTAAGATATCCGATTTTAGAATTGGTGCACTTTTTACAAAGTTCATCATAGAACATAATTATTAATTAAAGGGATGGAAACTTGTAAAAACAATTGTTATTTAAATAAATCTTTAGCTGTGTAAGAATTTTTTGGAACTACAAAAGCCATACGCCATATGGTTTGTAATAATTCAAAGGAGCAAGTAAGTATTTAAAAAAATGAAACAGAAATCTCGGAAGGAATCGTAATTTCACGAACAATTGCAAGCTAGAAAAATACTTGTCTGGCTCTCAAAATATTTATAAAAAGCAACTAAACGAAGAATTGCTTTAGGGAGCTACAAAGGCTATACGTCATATGGATAGTAATAATACAATGGAGCAAGTACCTCTTTCAAAAATTGAGAACGACATCGTAGTTCTACGCACAATTGCGCACTGTACTTACAAAGAGCAGCTGAACGAAGAATTTATTCAGTAAGCTGCGGGGTCGGTTATAATATCAATTTCGTAATTGGGGTAAATGAATAGGTAACTTTGTCCTGAACGGTGATTTGGACAAGTCAGAAAACTGGAATTCAGCAATTTTATAAAAATAATAAGATATACTTGCCACTCATATATTTTATATTTTATTTTCATTATTTTTTATCTTGAGTTAATACAATCTGTTTGTACAGTAACAAATGATATATAAAATAGTATTACGTTTTATACCATAATATATAAATAATTAACAGCAGTCTTTTCATTAACAATAAAACTATTTGACTTATATTATCGTATTATAGCATTGATCTGAAACACCGTAAACCGCAGAAAGGGCCTTTGATAAAATGTCTTATAATCATATCTTTCTTGTTCACTCAAATTTCAATATTTCATTTAAACTCATTTGTTCATTACAGGAAAACATTGCCGAAAGATGCAAAGGACTACAGTCTCTTGTATGGAAGGTTATTTCCTTTTTCTTCCAACTTCTCTCATAAGCGCTTGCATATCTGAAATCCCTGCACTCGATCTCATTGGAAGCTTGGAAAATATTCCTGACATAAGGTCTAAATTTTCAAGTCCAGCAAAACCTGATATGATAAGAAATAAAATAAATAATCCATAAAAATCGTGATAATAATCAATTATATATTATAGAAAAGCTCAATTCTTGTTTCTGAAAATTTTATATTGCGTATTATTAATAAGATTTAGAAAAATGCAAAAACAATAATTTGATGAATCCCACGTTTTCAAAAACTGACAGCTGACGTTAATATTCTGGTGACAACCATGGTATATGTTGAATGTATGTGTTTCTAAATATTACATTTGAGCTACTTGTTATATTAAATATTTCTCAATCAAAATACCAGTTGCCTTTCAAACTTAAGTAGAATCATTTATAAAATATGCAACCTGAATTGAAAAATACCTTAGCATCAATCGCATTGTAAACAGCAATGCAAATAAAAGTTGATATTATCAATATTCTTATCCCAAGTCATATAATGTATAAGTTCATGTTTGTTTTAGTTTAGTAACTGGTTGATATCACCAAATGAAATTGTCTTTGAATAAGCAATTGTTAAAATTCGCAACATATAAATACTACAATTGTAATTTAAAAGAAATTCAGTTACCTTTGCGTTTCATACGACTGTTCTGTCCTTCACAAAATGCTAAAAATATAATAGGAATAAATGAATTAGCATTGTAGGAGAAATGATTGAAGTTGTCTTGAGTAAAATGTGCTTGATCACAAGAAGTTTACTGGATAATTTTTTTCAACTAGAGCAATGTGACATCAGGATTTGATTACTAAGAACATGCCATTACGCGGCAAAAATCTGAAAATCATGAGTTACAACCGATAAAAAAGCATGAAATAAATAGATGTGTTTGTTTTATACGTCGGATCTAATTATATTTCACTCTTGAACGACAGATCTTATATTTTCACTCTTGGCTACGCCATTTGTGAAAATATTGCATCTGGTGTTCACTTTTTATGTTAAATATATTAATATCTTACATGCAAAGCAAACAAATATCCACTATATTTTACATTGTTAATAAAAAGACTGAATTCTATTGGGCGAGTACACAGCTGTCAAAATTGTATTGAACGACGCGCTAGCCAAGTCTAACATAATTATGATTTGCAGCTCTGTACGTGTCCCAATAGAATATTTATTGTTCTCAACCATGTTGACTGACCTTCTTATTTCACAACATCATATGTTTTACATTTTGACATTACTTTGTTGTTGTTGTTTTTTTTTCAATTACAATATACGGATGTTATATGGATTCTTAAACTCTCAAGAAATGAAACCTAATTAAGATGGAGTATGATATGCATTTGATAAAGATATTTTGAACAAGGCTATTCTAGGAGCGATTTTGATTTGAAATGGAATTTCTGAACTCTGGAAATAAGAAAGAGAGTTAACTGATATGATTGAAACCAATATTGATTTCTATTTGAAATATTTGAAAATCACGTGGTGCAAATGCTGAAAGTGCATTAGTTATACGTTTTATGTTGTGAACAAATCTAAATTATTTCCTTTAAAAAAACCAATATGATAAACATAAGTTATTCGTGAAAGAGAACTCAGACTGTGTTTACACATTTATTTATAATTTTATATATTATAAATCATTGATATAATTGTGTAAATGTCAAATGCTCATAATCATTACTCAATAGTTTTTATATGCAATCTATTTAATTTATAAATTTGCATACTGTATTCCTAGAAAAGATTTCGCGCATTTTAAGTTAGCGGTTTTCGCGGGAGGCATGATTCCGCGAATCTTTATAGCCGCGAATATGTCACTTATAACAAATCCGCGAACATTTCTAGCTTCAGCCAAACATAACATAAAAAAGTGCAGAATATTTATTATAATCTACTTACACAAAAAAACATATAAACACAGGTGCTATAGAACTGTGTAAAGAATTATTTATGTATGTTATTGATACTAGTTTGCACGCTAAACAAGAAAATATCAATTATTAGTAATTATCATGCTTATTGACATTATTTGCTAGTCACAGCGTTAACAAACGCATTTACAGTTTGCAAACATTGAATGACTTGGATTTTATTTGCTTGGAGTAGGTGTAATCCTTTGTTAAAAGTACAATACAATAGCGATAAAGTGCTACATTGATAAACAGCTGTTATGTTGTTAAAATGAAAGCGATGTACAGTCCGATAATGTGTAAAAAAATACGTATCGACATTTTGAAGATAAAGTCAGTTATAAAGGATTCAAATGAGAATAAAAGCTAACGGGTCTGACTAAATCTTACTTAATAACATAATGAAAAAAGGTAAGGAAATATGAAAGTGTTCACGGAACAACCGTCCTTGTTCGACTAGTCAATAGATAAAAATGTATCGAGTAACGTTGCGCTTTAGGCGCTACTTGTCAAAAAAAATGAAATAATTAAAAGCACCCAACAGGCAAGGTCATGCATCAAAAACGTAGCCTCCAAAAGTTGTAATTCAGGCCGTAGCGACTTAATATTCGCGGAATTCGCGGTTACTACATATCCGCGAAAGTTTGTCTCCGCGAAAATGGCGACGTTGTGAAAAACGCGAAATATTGTATCCGCGAACATTTCTAGGAATACAGTATATATCTCACTGTCCTCTATGACGGATCTTATATCTAAGTACAAGTTAAAACCTATTCGTAAGGTATGTATGAAACCATCATTTATGATTATAATCTATGTCTTGCATCATTCGTCTAAGTTGCTTTAATTAAAATAAACCATGAGGTTCCTATTGTATTGATAAGAGGTTTATGAATATTTGACTTTGACTAAGGAAACATGTAGACATACAAATATAAATACTAACCAATATCGCTTAAATATCATGTTCCTTTTACACTTAAAACGAAAGTTTGAAAAATATATTCTGTATCAACAATAGCAAAATGTTATTTATTTCATCTTTCTATGGTAAATAAATTAATCAGCAAAAACTTTAAGTGACTTATGATAAGAAGCAAATATATTCTCTCTTACCACGAATAAAAGCATGTTCCGGAAGACGTGAATTACATAAAAGTTCCAATTCTATCACATTGTCGTAACCACTTCCTAATTCTATAGCGGCTGTTTGACATACAAGCAAACCACTAAGTGCAATTAACATCACAGCTAAATTTATAGACAAGTTCTTCCATTCCATTTTGGCAAACCTTTGTTTTGACACTGTGAAATAAAACGGTTATATTAATCAATGTAAGCATTTAAAATTAAGCATTTATTTTAGCACTGTGCTTTACAGAAAAGATACTTTGACAGTAGAATGTTTAGAAACAGAAGACATTCATCAAAAGATTTAAGAAAACATATTCATAATTCAATATGTGTAATTTATTCTTCATGACATTTTCCAACGAGGTGTGTAAGTTTTTATACTGATCTTAATTTTCAAACAAAATATTCCGTTTAAAAGTTTGCGTTTAATTCCAATTCTTAAATAGAAATGCATGTAAAAAAATTTATTTATGTATTTATCTATGTAAAAAACAAACCTTGCGAAGTGTAACAACGTTCTGATCACTGTGCCTTCTAGTTTGAAATCCAAAGACAGATTAGAACACGAATCTTTTAAAGCAAACGCTAGACGCTATTGCGTCCTACAATGACGTCAAAAGTAATAACCCTAGATTAACGAAAGGTAGGAAATTAAAATAAAAGACGGACGAATAAAGATATTATCTAACGTATTAAAGAAATCATATATATCAAATATCCTTCACCAGTGATTAATCCAACATTGTATTTTAAGAATGAAAGGAAATTACACTGAAATTACGTAAGGTATGATAATCAGCATAGGCTCACGTAATACAAATATATATACTTTTCCTTGCAAACTGGAACTTTTGAAAGAAGATGGATATCGTTATTTTTTTTTAATTTCGATACCAGAAATAAGACTTAATTTTGCGCTCTTAAAATATATTGCAATGAAAATTCTTTTATTACATTGTAATTTGAATTTATTTTAAACTGATATAATGGTTCATTTGGATTTTTACTTAAATTGTAAGTCGTTTAGGCTGGAATAACATAAGTTAAAGACGTGATATCTAGAACATGGCATCCATTATTGACACTTATTAACATCCTGATGATAAGAAGTAGTAATTATGACTAAATATATCCTCTTATTCCAATAAAATAATGCACCTTCGTCTGGGGCGAAACGCCATTTGTTTAATAATAACAATACACTGTCTGGTCATGTGATTCTAATGTTTAAAGTTTTAATAATTTGGTATCTTATTTGGTACTTTATTTATTTTCAGGGTTTCTGGTAACATTCGCAATTAACGTATCTGTCAAGCTTTATTTCTCATTCAAAAAAGTGTATTTTCTTCTTTTTTTAATGTCACAGATTTAAAAGATACAAATTTAAAACGGTTATGAGACTGAAGGAGAATGCTTATTAAGTAGGTTATGCCGTATCTACCGGTATGTAGTTAGTTAATACGACACAGGGATAAATAAACGGTAGAGTTATGATTGTCGTCAAATCGTAAAACTTTCGTCAGTTATTTACGCATTCGCACCAAATGCATACGACTCCTTTGATTAAGTAAATCTATCCATAAATGTTTGACAATTTCAATATTTTGTTTCTGGTTATAATATTTTAATTTTTGAATTCGTCTAACAATATGCCCCTAATTCACCAGAGAGAGATCTTACAGTTTTCTTTATCTAACTATGTAAGTGATTAGCTTGGCGCAATCTTACGATATTGAAACACCTAAAATAAATTAAGTCTGTTTATCTCATCAAAGGAAATTGACAGGAAAACATTTTGATATACTCGTATTTCAACCAAAAATGCATAATTTCATCAGTTATAATTGATGATTTTGTATTTATACACCATGAGTTAAGTAAACATGAAAAAACATATCAGTTAATGATCCTTTATGTTTTGTGATTGATATTGTTACTGTGTGTATGCCACACTTGCAAAAAATTATATATATATAATTTTCAAACATCGAAGAATATGTAAAATGTGTACTGCAAATTTTTGTGCACATTATATTTAATTCATAAATTATATTCTTTCATTTCTTATTGGAAAATTTGACGAAGAATTTATAGAAAATAAATTTCTAACTACCTCCTTTTATTTACATGAAATGTTAAATTTGGTAATATCTTTATAAATAATGCTTATTGGAACTTACAATATTGACAAATCTTAATTTGAGCATCATATTTATGAAATAAAACCATGAAATAAATGTGTTACAGGATTTTTAACGAGTGAGCTAGAAACCGACGGAAAGTCGAACGTTGTAAATCCAGTGAATTTCTTTTATTAATTTAGTTTACGGATCAAATTTAATGAAAATAAAATAAAATACTTTGTTTCAGCATTACAGATTGCTTCAATTTCATACAAGGAAAGCATTGATGCAAAGCATTAAAGGGCGACGCCAAAAGAATTTGATCCAGATTTGCACCTAAATACTTAACAAAGATGTGAACTTTATAGCAGTACCATTACATGTGACCTGTAGGCAAGGGCCAGTTTAAGTTGAAACTTAAACCAAAAAAGAATAGACTCTGTCTTGCCAAGATGCAAAGACAATTTATAGTCAATTAAGCAATCTTATAAGACTCATGCTATAAGAAAGAATTTATTCAGATTTATTTTACGAGACACAAGGATTCCTGAGTCATCAGCATATAATCACAGGCACGAGTATTGGACCTGGGAAGAAAAAATATGACCAGATGACCAGATTGGTAAAAAAACTGTGTTTATAAAAACAAAAAACAAAAAATGTAAATAATGACCCCCTTTAGAAATATACTATCAACTTGAAGTATATTTTTAAAGGGGGTCATTATTTACATTTTATTTTGGTTGTTGACACTTTTAAGATGAACACAGGTTTTTTTATCAATCTGGCCATATTTTTTCTTCCCAGGTCTGATACTCGTGCCTGTGCATTATAATAAAAGCTTATTGCTTAGGGTTGAAGACATGTCATTGACATATATTAGACATAAAAGAGGACCTAAAATGAAGATCAGGGGGACACCATAGGTACTCAGAGCAGTAGTAGAATGAGTACCAGCCACATCCACCAGCTGCGGTCTATCAGAGATAAGACTTAAACCATGTAAGAATGTCATTATATATGGCAGATGCTTGAAGTTTCATGAAGAATAAGAACTTCTTCATGTGCAGTATAGTGTGTTCAACTGTATCAAATGCCCTTTGTAGATCTAAAAGTATCATGCAATACTGCCTTTGTCCATTTCAAATAATGCAATCTGTTAAATGAATCAAACATGTGTCAATTGAAAAATCACTTCTAAACCCTGACTGAAACTGCCTGACCATGACTCGAACCCATGACTTTCAGAAGACCAACTGAGCTATCCGGCCGGCTACACATTTTCTCTTTAATAACGAAACAGTTCTAAACCACAACATATTTCCCCACTATATTGATTTGTGTCCATGACTTTCTTATGTTACAGAGCATAGGAAATTGAACTCATGCTTATATGCAGTCACAGGATGAGAAAAACTTTGAGCTTGACCAGAACTCAAACCTGTGACCAACATAAGAAATTTTATGAAGGCTGATTTGAATTTTGCATCAAGGGCACCGGGCAAAAACATGAAAATGCAACAAACCAACCACTTTGTGGTAGATTGTATTTTCATGTTTTCATCTGGCGCCCGATTACTTTTTGTACTATGTTGGTTTTCATGTGGCACAAATCACCCACTATAAATTTAGTGCACAAATTTATTCAAGGGCAAGTAACAATCTACTCTATGTACAGTCTGTTGTCGGGTTGACTCAGGAGACCTGGAGGTTGAGACCGGTGTCCCTTCATTACAAATAGATAAGACAGAAGCTGTCCTTTTCAAACTATGCACATGTTAGAAAAAAAATAGAATAACTATTCAGAATATGATTTTTGAGACTTTATTAATTATATTGCTTGATCCAAGTTTAAGGACATTTTCAATCAATACATGTTTTATCATTTATAACTTTAAACGAAAGTCTCATCCCTTTAATAATAATGACATAACTGTATCTCTTTAAATGCAGAAAAATTATAAGTCTCAACATATCAATATACTACTGTCTAAGATATACATGTATATGCACATAACATTAATAATTCCAAGTTTATATTAAATAAATATGAAATCCTAACATTAACATTAACATGCTTTTGATGACCTTACAACTGGTGAATTATATACAATAAAAATAGTATTATAAGTAATACCTAAGATAGACAGAAAAGAACACATAATTTAGTAAACATGAGTTACTTCCCCTTAAAATAGAGAAAATAACACCCTAAACAGCAAAATTATGAAATGCTGCATGCTCAGGTTTATTAAGCCATGCAAATAATGGTAAAGTATTCATACAAAAATAGATGGCCATGTGACAGCAGTAATTGCAGAAAATCGGATAGCTTTCAACATCCGGATACTGGTACACTTTGTAAAAACAACCATTCTGCGCAACAGATAAATGTAATAAGGATAAAATCAATAGGATAATCGTTTACAACAGTTCCATTACCTATCCTTATACTCAATTGCAGGTGAACTTTCTTCTTGTACGAAAATTTTGAAAATGTATAAATGAATAAATAAACTGATACGGCCTCAATCTAGACCACAACGATATTCGAAATCCGGGTTTTAGTATTGTCAATAAAACTAAGGGACAAGCTGTTAAACTTAACCTGCAATTTCGTGAAAATAATATCGCAATGCACATGCTTTTTACATAAAGTTATTAAATACAAATATAACAACACATTTGTTTACTTGATTTTTACGAATCAAAATAAAACTAATTAACACAACATGAAATTAACTGCTAATAATAACAGCTCCTTCCATAGGCAAAAATAAAAAGCATTCCATAATAGACGACGCCGCTCACCGGCGTCGCCAACAATTTGCTGTTGTATACGTATATGTAATAAATGTCAAATGGGGCATACGTTGTGCATGTGTATGTAAAAATATAACAGTGGGGGTAACCTTACGTCATTTTACAGCATTAATTTATTCAATTGGATAATCTGGTCGTTTTTCTAACACCAAAAGTGCTTGCTATTTATGCATTTGATGTTTTGATTTTGTTCCGGTTTTGAAAACAATTTAGAGGCAAGAAGATAATAGACAATTAAATAGATAATAATAAAAGATTTTTTTCTAACACAAAAAGTGCTTGCTATTTATGCATTTGATGTTTTGATTTTGTTCAGGTTCTTAAATAATTTATAGGCAAGTAAATAATAGTTAAATTTTTGCAGTGGAATATTGTTCAACCAAACAAGATCAGCTTTTATTAGAGTACAATTGCAAAGAGATGCAAATATAATTTAAAAATAAAACTTACACACGTAATATTTGATGTGCTGCTGAATGAAATAATACAAATGAATTCGCTTTTCTTCAGTTTTTAAATTCTTTAGCTTGTACTAAAACAGATTGCATTAGATACAGGGGTTTATTGTAATAATTTTACTTAGAAATCAAAACTGACATCACCCTATCATTTAAAATCAAAGGACTGCAAGCTCTTTGGTATTTTCTGATCTTTGCAATCTACATCGTACTGCATACCTGAATGTATTT